CCAGAGGTCAACATTGGGTGTCTTTCTCAACCACTCTTCACCATATTTATCATTTTAAAGGTTTATTTTATTATTTTCTTAATGATAGGCATGTATGTGCACATGAATGTGGTCCCATAGAAGCCAGGACATGTCATATCCCTTAGAGCTGGAGTTATAGGTGGTTGTGAGCTGCCCAATATGGGTCCTGGGAACTGAGCTTGGGTCTTCTGAAAGGGCAGCAAATGCTCGTAACGGCCGGCCATCTCTCTAGCCCATGCACCTTCCCTTAGAGCCAGGGTCTCTCACTGACCCTGGAGCTCACTGACTCAGCTAGCCTGGCTGGCCAGGGAGATCCAGGCAGCCTCTATCTCTGCCTCCCTGGCATTGGGATTTCGAACGTGTGTCACCACACTGGCTTTCTACGTGGGTCCAGGGAATCTGTACTCTGGTCTTCTGCTGGCATGGCAGGTGCTGTACTCACTGGACCACCTTCCCACATGATGGTTTCTGCTTTTCATGCCTCCCCCAGCTCTCAGCCTCCGGGCACCCTGGGCTCTTTATGCAGAGTGCCATCTTTCCCTTGGACATGGCTGTCTCCTCCATCTGTCTCTCTTAGGTGTGTAAAGAACTTTTGGCAGTGGAGAGAGAGAAACAACTCAAGGACCAAGAGAGCTGATTGGTCACAAAGTGTTTGTGTATTGCATCCTAAGAAACATTTTGAATGCAACAAGATCCCAGGGCAGGCTATTTGCCCTTTTCCATGAAGTGCAGGAAGGCATCTCACCCTGTGCTATGGATTGCTGAGTAATAGGTGTTGTGTGATGGTGTAGAAGTAGGATTTATTGATGGCAGAAGCTTATCACAGGATGCCTTGATAGTCTAAAGAGATAGGCCCAAGATCAGTTACACTTAGGACATGAGTGAGACACTTGATGTCTGAAGTTGCTGCCTGTGTGGAGGATGGGAAAAGGTACTTGCTCAGCTTTGTGCCTGTACAGCTCTTAGGAACTGCCGGCCAGCTTGGCTCAGCCCCTTTGTGCTGAGTGTAGAAAGGACTGCTTCCAGACTGCATGTCTGAAGTTGAGGGTTTGTGGAAAGAGAGTATCACCAGGCCCCTGCTATGGTCTGATATACCATGGGACAGGGCTCCTTCCTCTGGGTGGGAGGCCAACCATAGGAGGGACAGGAGCAGCCTCTGTCCTTTGTCATAGTTGTGCCTTTGTGTGTCATGGCAGTGCATATTATGTATACTGTGTATACTGTGTATACTATGGTGCAGTGCGTACTGTGTGTACTGTGTATACGGTGGTACAGTGCGTACTGTGTATACTGTGTATACTGTGGTGCAGTGCATACTGTGTATACTGTGGTGCAGTGCATACTGTGTATACTGTGGTGCAGTGCATACTGTGTATACTGTGTATACTGTGGTGCAGTGCATACTGTGTATACTATGTATACTGTGGTGCAGTGCATACTGTGGTGCAGTGCATACTGTGTATACTGTGTATACTGTGGTGCAGTGCATACTGTGGTGCAGTGCATACTGTGTATACTGTGGTGCAGCTTGTACTGTGGTGCAGCTCGTACTGTGGTGCAGCTCGTACTGTAGTGCCTTTTGCGCAGCCAGCACCTCACAGTCCATCACTAAATGTGACACTGGGACTCTGATGCCCTGTGTGAGGACAGTGTGGGGCTTCAGTCTTCGTGTCTTTTCACTAAGCTGCCAGATCAAACGACAGAGGACACTTTAGGAACATAAGCTATGTCTTTAAAAATAATGTAAACTTTCAGAGTTTCATACATATGCATCATCATCTTCCTCCTCCATTATCTTCTCTAGCCCCCCTCTACCTCCTGATGAACAAGCCCTTTCCTAATTTCATGTCTCTCCCCCACCCCCCTTGGCCTACTGCATTTTATCAGGGACTCTTGCCTGAGCACAGCTGGGGCTGATTTCCTTGAGCAAAGGCAACTTACTAGTGTCTGCACCGAGGAGTATGACTCCCACTTCGCCTGCAGCCATTGCTCACCCCAGCTCCTCTGGGAGGGGTGGGGCCTCTTGAACTCCTCCCACTGTGATGGACGCCCACTGTGTGTAGGTCTCAGCTAGGTTACTGTAGCTGCTGTGGGTGTGTGGGTACACTAGTCATCATGTCCCCATCCTCTGGCTCTTACGTCTTTCTGCTCCTTCTCTGATGTTCCCTGAGCCTTAGAGTGGTTGATATCGACGTCCTAGTTCAAGCTGGGCACTCAGCAGTCCCTTGTTCTCAGAGCTCTGACCACTTAACGGGTCCCTGCACTAACTGCTGCCCACTCCACACACAGGCTTCTGTGGACGCAGGCAGAGAGCAGCGCCAGCGGCCTGGGTCCTAACACACACCTGTTGTCGTTGAACCCTGATACCGCCACCTCTTGGGTTGGCAAGGCGTATGGCCTCCTGACAGCCCTTCCTGTGGCTGGGCTGTGCCTGTAAACGGTTGACCTCCACTCATGTGACTGCAGTGAGCATACTGCCAACTGTTGGGACTTCCAGCATGTGTTCCAAAAGTCCCCACATGGATCCAGGGAATAATTAGTATCCTGTAAGATATGAATCTTAATTCCTAAATTACATATTTAGCAGATGGTCCAAAATAGCACTCGTAATGGCAACATTCAATTAGTGAGTTTAAAAAATGTATATTATTGCAACACTCTCCGTGGGTTTTATTTAGAGATTTCTAAATATAGTGGATAAAAACATAGAAGTGTTGCAGACAATTTAGACCCACACCGCCGCAGTGGGCCGTGTGCTAAACTTCCCTGTTAACCAGACGTGCCTGCAGAGAGAGATTCTGATTTATTGCTGAGCCTCCAAAACAAGCTCTACCAAGGAAGTCAGGGGCATCCCTGGTCCACAGGCCCTGCTCCTTTGTGCTTGTGAATTCTGATGTCTGTAAGGGTCCTTGGGACCCACTGTGGTTGATTGACGTGGGACCCAAGGACAGCCTTGCTTCTTCTGTGGCCAGGTCAGTTACATCCTGCCTATGTTCCATGCCCTTGCAGTCCTTGATTCTGGTTCTGTGTGGGTCTGAGGTGGTCCCATAGGCAGGTTAGAATGAGAATTTCTGCATGGATAGGAAGCATGTGAAAGGTTGCCCACACAGCTGGAGGAGCAGAGCTGTGTGAGGTCACCTTCTAGAGTCCAAGTGATAGGGGTCCCAGAGACAGGCCTGTCCTTTCCTGGAATCAGAGTCTTCCCAGCTACTAGGGAGGCTGAGAAGTGCCAGTTGAAGGCATGCCTGGGTTACAGAATGAATTCAAGGCTAGCCCAAGTTATTTAGTGAGACCCTCACTCAAAGGAAAAAGTAGGAGGGCTGAGGACATAGTTGAGGGGTAGAATGCTTGCCTCACCTTCATGAGGTACTGGGTTCAAATTTGGGTATCCGTTACTTTTCTTGTGACGAAATGCCTGAGAGAGGATCACCAGGCAGGAAGGAAGGGTTTCCTAGGACTCACAGCGTGAGGGTACAGTCCATCATCACTGGGCAGGCATGGCGGCAGGAACGGGAGGCCGCTGGTCCATCATCGCTGGGCAGGCATGGCTGCAGGAACGGGAAGCCGCTGGTCCATCATCGCTGAGCAGGCATGGCTGCAGGAACGGGAGGCCGCTGGTCCATCATCGCTGAGCAGGCATGGCAGCAGGAACGGGAGGCAGCTGGTCCATCATCGCTGAGCAGGCATGGCTGCAGGAACGGGAGGCCGCTGGTCCATCATCGCTGAGCAGGCATGGCGGCAGGAACGGGAGGCTGCTGGTCCATCATCGCTGGGCAGGCATGGCGGCAGGAACGGGAGGCCGCTGGTCTCATTGCATCTACAGTTAGAAAACGATGAATGCTGGGGCTCTGCTCAATTTCTCCTTTTTCTTTAGTCTAGGACCCCAGCCCGTGGGATGGTGTTGCCCACATTCATTTTGGGTCTTTTCCCCTTAATCACCCTAATCTCCCAAAGACACACCCAGAAGTGTGTTACTGACGTGATTCTAATTTCCATCAAGCTGACAAGATGAACCCTCACACTCCAGTTCTTAGTAGTGATGGGAGAAGAGAGGCAGAAGACCATGGTGTTCGGTCCTGGGGGCTGCAGAGAGGATGCTGTGGGTCCAGGAATGTGACAAGAGCCTCAGGCTTCCTGCCTGTTGGTGGCTTTGTGTCTCCCAGGAGCTGCTCAGGGACATGTGCCATCAGAAGGAGGCATGGCACTTGATTGGGACAGATTCCCAGAGACTGTGGGACCCCTTCTAGCATCCGTTCTTGCCAGTGTCTGCCTGGGCAGGAGATCCTGGGCTGTGGGGTGAGCCCCGCTAGGTCTTTGTTGTTCCTGGCCTTCAAAAGGCTAAAGCTCTCCCTGAGGCCAGAGAAAGCTGAGGCACAAGGTCTCCTCTAGTGTCTGAGTCCCCCGTGTGAAACAGCCGCACTATTGAGCTAAGGCTCAATACAGCTTTACCCTGCAGAGCCTTGATCCCAGTTCCCTAAAGCAGGCCTTGCTGAAAGCCAAGTTGTAGGCTGGCACCCTTCGGGTGCTGGTCCCCAAGCAGGCCTTCTTGGTAAGCAAGTGTGTACAGCAGAGTCTTTGTTCAGACCCCCCCAACCCTCTCTGTATATTTAAACAAAGAGCTTTTTAGACCTAAACACAGATGTTCATTTGAAAATGAGAAATCAAATTAAGCGGAACCAGCCTTTGAAAGTGAATGCCCCGTAGCAAGTCAAACAAAGGGAGAAAAACACTGTGTGTAAATTTCACTTAAATCACTTTTTCATCTTAAATAAAGTTTTAAAGGAACAAAGTGCCGCGTGAAAGCGCTCATCACCCTCCTGTCCTCCAATGGAACATCTGCGCTCATTCTGATGCGAGGAAAGATGAATTAAATAAGCTGGGGAGCATCCCCCCCATAATTGCACCTCGTCCCTTTCTCAGACACAATGCGGATGAAATGCCGATTGAGCTGCTGAAGAGGGAGGCTGAATAGCCAAGCGGGCACCGCGAATCCCACTGAGCCGATCAGCGGAACTGTGCGGGGGCCACCGAGTCTGTTCCTTCTGAGAGATGCCATCTCCTACATAACGAGAAGACGCAGCTCACAGGCCGCTCTCAGAAGCCTCCCCGGTGGACTACCTGGTCAGCAAGTTTTAAAATAGGTGTCTCCGCACACCTGGATGGGCGCATTGGCCCTCCAAGTGGGTCAGGGCTCTCTGGCATCCCAGTGTCCTCTGGAGGGCTGTTCAACTGCCAGTGGCTCGGCAGGGGTCGATCACTGAACCCATAGGGGCTTGCTGTAGATCGGAAGCAGTGGCTGAGGACTGGTGTTTTATGTTTTTTCTTTTTAAGAAAGGTTCTCGTGTATTCCAGCCTGGTCTCAGAGTCACTCTGTAGCTGAGTGCGACCTTGAATTCTTGTTCCTCCTGCCTCCACTCCAACTGCTGGGACTATAGGCATGGCCACCATGCCCAGTTTATACGGTGCTGGGAATGGAACCCAGGACCTTGTGCATGCTAGGAAAGCACTCTACCAACCAGAGTTGGTGTTCTAGCCAGGACTGTTACCATCTGTTCCCCCGCCCCCAGATGCCCTCCAATGAGAGAGAATAAAGAAAAGCAGGTCCCAGCGTTCAGAAGGCCGCGGCAGGGAGATCTCCACAAGTTCTAGGCCAGCTGGATTTCTATGAGGAGACACACAGACACACAGTAGTTCCCGCGTAGGAAGAGCTTGGGGCGAGTTCAGTGGTAGAACACTGCTTCGTGTGCGTGAGCTTTCGTCTCCAGCGCTAGGAAGAAACCACGGGGTCTGGGGGCATGGCTCAGTCAGTAAAGTGCTCACCAGATAAGCGTGGGGATCCGAGTTTAAGCTCCAGAATCCATGTGGAAAGAAAAAGCCAGGCATGGTGTGAGCCTTTCATGCCTGTGATGGATGGCACAGGGGAGACGAGAGAGTGCCCAGGGCCTGTGAACATCCAGTCTAGACAAATTAGCTCCGGGTTCAGTGAGAGATCCCCCGCCCCCGCAAATAAGGTAGAGAGTGATTAAGGAAGATACTTGATGTCGACCTCTGCCCCCCATGCATACATGCATGTGTACTCATGTCAAACACATGTGTGTAAACGTATGAATATGTACATGCACACAGGCTGTGGGGAGTACTGTGAGGAAAGTGGAGAGAGATGGGTGGTCGGAGGCACCTGGGAGGCCGGATGGCCTCTTCTAGCAAGGCAGAGGCATCTTAGCCGAGACCCAAAGTGACTGTCCCTGAGAGAATGGGTAGGGCTGTCGGTGCTGTGGTCAAGCCACATGAAGATTAGAGGTATGGAGTGGTGTGTTTATTTGGCTTATTTAGAGCAGTGGCCCGTGTTGTTTTGGGGACCTGGAGTGACAGTAGCAGTCTGTTGGCAGCTCAGGGAAGACCACACTAGCAGTGACCACCTGTGTATTCTGCCCTTGGGCTACTGCCCCCTGTCAGGTTCTGCACCCCCTGCGCCCCCCTCAGCTAAGGCTCACTAACTGTTACTTGCCTCCCCATGTGCAGGTCAGGACGCACAGCTTCCGAGCAGGGCTAGGGAGGTGGGCCCCCTTTAATTACTCTGAAGCTTTCTGTTTCCTTCCTGTCCTGAAGAGCTTTGCTGCTCAGATGCAAAGCCTGGATGCCCCAGCCAGCTAGACACTGTGGTGGTCTGTGCATGGGTACCCTTTCTCCTTCCTCAGCACCAGGCGGTGGGTCTGGGCTTCTCACAGGCACCACCTCCATGAGCACACATAGTTTTCAGCATATGCCGCCTCCTCTCCAGGGACTGAATGTCCTCAGATTTGAATTGGATCAGTTCATCCATCCCCAGGGCCCCACCAGGACCTGTATTGCAAGAGGTCAGTCAGGACCCAGGGGATCTCCATTATGAGCTCTGCCACAGGCTGCAAGAGCAACTGTCTCATCTATGGAGAGCGCTAGGCCCTGTGACTGAATTGCTTCCAGACTGGAAAGGTTAACCTCTGCACCTTGTAACTGCAGAAGGGATGAGAGCGATCCTTTTGCTTTTGTTTTGGCTGAGGTGCTAATGGCTGCAAGCGTGGACTTGCAGGTTCCAGGCAGGTAGGGAGCCAGACTTGCTATACAAGGATGCCGAAGGTTCCAGGGAAGACTGGTGGGCCATGCTGGCCAGATGGGGCGGTAGATGAGCATCTAAATGAGATGCAGAGCTGCGCCTTCCTTTCCTGGTGGAGCTGAGTCCAGAACTGTAGCCTTAGTTTTTCCAAAAAATCATCTTGTTTTTTATGTGTCTGGGTATTTTGACTGTGTGTATATCTGGGTGCCACATGTGTGTCTGGAGCCCATGGAGGCTAGAAGAGGGAGTCAGATCCCCTGGAACTGGAGTTAGAGATGGTTGGGAGCCACACTCTGAATTTTGGGATTTGAACCTGCGTTCTGGAAGGGCAGCCGGCATTCCTAACCAATTGAGCCGTTTTTCCAGACTCCTCACACTCAGTTTTAAACCGGGCTGGGGAGGACCCACCGAGCTGGGCAAGGTGGATGTGACTGCAACTCCCACCTTCTGAGTGGCCCAGGAACAGCACCTGTGGGGACAGATGGTGGGAGAGTCTGGCTTGTCTGTGTGTGCATGGAGAGAGCCTGCTTGTCTTGTCTTCCATCCACGGTTACTGATAGGGTAGAGGTGAGTTGCAGGAGCACCAGCCTGAAGGCCCAACCCAAAGGACATGGCTGTGTAGGGTGGAAGTCACTGATGGGCATGTCTCTGGGGAGGGGCTTTTCCTTTCTCAGCTTCCTCCTTCTCTGTTTGAACCTGTGTCCTGTGTTGCTCACGGTTAGGCACTCATTCCCTGATGTCAGAACTTCTCATCCACCTGTTGTCGTCCCCCAGTGAGGCCTTGGCAGTGTCTCACATGGGGCCTTCGAAAGAGCCAGGGGCCCTTCTAGGTTGCAAGGGTAGATCTGGGTTCTCACCCCAAGACAGTTGGTCTTGGCCCTTCCCAAAGATCTCTCCCTTCTGCAGCTGGAATGGAAACAAAGCAGGCTGTGGCAGGTGTGGTGGGACTCCTGTGTCGAGGTACAGTTTTCTCATGGTTTCCTTGCCTGGATCTAATCTTACAGTTTGAATTGTGGGTTGGAAGCAGAGGGGTGTGTGTGTGTGTGTGTGTGTGTGTGTGTGTGTGTGTGTGTGTGTGTGTGCGCACGCGCGCACGCATGCCTGTTGGTATATGTGTCAGAGACTGATGACATGTAGGCCTAGAGCTCAGGTCATAGCACCCACCCTTCTCTTAGGAGGTGTTAGCAAAGTCTGAGTCCAGTCCTCATAAATCAGTTGCACATTCAGGCTCATGATTTACAGGAGTCAATTCATTTAAACCATGGCTGACTTCAGGGAGCTTTCTGTCCTGAAAGCCCATCGTGTGGCTCTTTGTGATGACTGTTCTCTCTTCTCAGCAGGCTTCTCTCCTGGGGCCCAGGGTGGCTTCCACTCTGCCCAGGACCCAGGGTGGCTGCTGCTCTGCCAGTCACCGAGTTGCCTGCTGGAGGCAGTGTGTGACAAGTGGATGAGGGAATCTATTGAAAGAAAGCAACAGACTCTTCGCAAGCCTGGGAACCAGGCAGTTTCCCTGGTCTGTCTGCATGTCCTCATGTAGGCAGGTGCTCTACTGCTGAGCTGTAGCCCATTTCCAACAATGTTTAAGGGTGCTTCTGTTTGAGATCCAAGTGAAGAGGGAGTAGTATGAGTATGGGAAGGAAGCAACAGGCCACGTTACAGCCCACTTCCTTCCTCCTATACCAGTGTTCATACATCTCTTGATGCAAGAGCTTGCACTGTGTACGTACACGATGTCAGGCCAAAGGGATTAGGAAGTTCTCAGACACAGCCCACAGGTAGCTCTAGTATTCCCAGAAATGAAGATTCCCAAGGCAGAGATCTTTCGGGACAGACTCAAGTCTGTGAAGAACAAATAACGGAGTGCACATTAGCAGGTGTCCTGGCAGGTGGCACCAGCAGCCGCCTGAGCCTCTGCAGGAGGAGTCCCTGCACACCGCTAGGCCAACCGAGAGTCTCACGTACAGCAGCACGGCTCCGAGGAAGTGATGGGAGGTGAGAGGAAGAAGAGCTCCACACAGCCCTAATTATAACTGTATGGTCTACAACACTCCAGTTAGAGGGACTCATCTAAAGGGAACAGTGCCAAGCCGTGACCACAGCCTGGAATCGTGGGCTGGGGGCGTGGTTCAGAGGAAGAGTTCTTACCCATCATGAGCAAGGCCCTGGGTTGAACCCTGTGCACTACACCATATCAAAACAAAAACCCAACGAGCAAAAATAATGATTCCAAGGCTGCCCACAGTTATGTGCTGTGTTGCTCCACTGTTACTGAGCCTGCCCTCTGGTAGTGCGACAGCATTGGACAGGGATCCCCAGAACTTCCTGTGCATGTGGCCTCCCTTGATGGCAGACCCCATAGCAAAAGACCACACTGAAGCTAGTGTAGCTAACACTCCAGTAATTGGAAGGAGAGTTTTTCCAGGCCCTTACGACGAAGGATTATAAATCTTTTCTATTAAAGGTGAGGCAGCCACTGAGGGTAGGAAGCGAGCAGTTGAAGCACATTGGCAGCCCTCCCTGCTCTGCGTGGCTGATGGGGAAAGTGGTTAGTTAATTAGGTGATTTTTCTCTTCCTCTGACACGTGCAAATGAGCCTCCGTTAATAACTGAGTTGTTATATAAATGATAAAATTTTAACACCAATGTCAAGTTGTCAGGAGTTCCTGGGCAGGGAAGGTGAGCCTGGGGAGGTGCTTCACTCCACCCCAGCTGGTTATTTAGTTATTTAAAATGGCAAGTGACCCTCTGGGAGGTTACTGTGAGCAGCAGGGCCAGAGGCTCTTTCCCACCTGCTGGCAGGAGGCTGCTCCAGAATCTGTCAGTCTTTTTTTTTTTTTAAGTCCTTCTGGTTCCAGGCAGTAATCCAGCACCCTAAACAGCATCTCTGTTGCTCTGGCTCAGGAGGAGCTGATCAAAGGTCCTCTTTCAGAGTTCTGAGATAGAGGGACCTGTAGGGCAGGTCTGCGGAGGAGCAAGCAGTAGCAGCCACTCTGTGTTCCTTACTGGGAACTGGGCTTGCTGTGACTTCCCAGAGCAGGACTCTGCCTCAGTGGCAGAAGGATGAGGCCACGTGACAAAGCCAACCCAGAATGTTTCAGAAGAGGCCTCACAGTTGTGAGCTGCCATGGCGGTGCTGGGAATTGAACCTGGGTCCTCTGGAAGAGCAGTCAGTGCTCTTAACCACTGAGCCATTTCTCCAGCTCCTGTTTTTATTAAGACGGGTTCTCATGTAGCCCAGGCTGGCCCTGAACTTCTGACCCTCCTGGTTCCACCCCTGAAGTGCTGGAGTTTAAGGCATATACTGCTAACCTGGTTTATGTGGTGCTGAACCCAGGTCTTTGTGCATACTAAGCAGGCACTCGACCAGCTGAGCTACAAGCCCTAGCCCCACGTGATATGCTTTTCATCTCTGGGAAGCTGCAGTCTAAAAGGCAGCATCCTCTTCTTGGATGTCAGACATGAATGAGAGTTCAGCAAACTAATCAGAGAGGGCCTGTAGCTCTGCTCAGAAACGGGCCTCACACTCCCGGCTGTCCTGACTAGAAAGCAGTAGGGCCACTTGCCCTAGCTCAGGTGGCCAGTGCACATCACCTCTTCACCACTACCTGTCACTCTGAGTGTTCAGCAAGCCAGCACAGAGCACCTGTGTCCATACATTGTAGGCTTCGTATAGCTGAGAGGGAAGCCTAAGAAATGATCTTTCTTGGCAGGGAGCTTGCAGCTAGCTGCCAGATGAGATGTGCGAACAGCTGGAGAACCTCTATGACTGATCAGCCCCAGGTGACATCAGGGACACGGGAACACGGCTCTCAGTGTTCTTTTAAATGCCTTCTTTTTTTTAAGACAATGTTTTGCTCTGTATCCCCTGCTTCCTGGAACTCACTATGTGGGTCAGGCTGCCTGGGTCTTACAGAGATCTGCATGCTTCTGCCTCCGAGTGCTGGAATTACAGGTGTGCACCACCACACCCAGTCTTACCTGTGTCCGATGGATGGAGTGGTGACCCCTTAGAGATGACCCTTCCCCATCTGTAGCCTGTGGACAGGGGTGTGGTCTTTGCATCTAAAGACTGTCTCTGGGCCCGAGGCTCTGCTGCCCTGCTGAAGCCATGCTGGTGGGTTTTGGAGGCAGGAAAAATATGGGTCTGTAGGTCAGGCTTCTCCCAGCCTGCTCCTCACTTCGGCATGCTCACCTCCAACCTGTCCTCTGGGTGGCAGATCTTTAGTACAGTAGAGACTGGTGTCTGTCTCTTCTGGAAATCTAAAATGAGATTTCATTTCTTTTTAAGTAAAAACGAGAAGAAAAAAAAAGGCTGAACATTTGCAGCTGGGCGATAGCAGAGATTTCGAATGTTACTTATCTTTTGCACAAAGGAGGCAGGAGAGAGGACTCTGTCAAGGCTGAATACTAACGATGTGGAGGCGGTGGAAAGCATGGGGGGTGTCCTTCCAGAACTAGGTGGAGATGGCCAGAGTTGTGCGGTGAATGCAGTGGGGAAGGCAGGGCTGAGAAGGACCTGCCCTTGCCCTTGTGATGCTTCTTTGCAGAGCTGGCCTCACTGCGCCTCCTCCACTCTTAGAAAGCCTCAGCTCGGTGGCCTGGGCCTACGCAGTTCCCTCTCCTGTGCTCTGTGCTCTCAGCCCCCTCTCCATACTCTGTTACTCTGTGTCGTGTTAGAAGGAATCCCTGTTGCCTTCCTACCTGGAATTCCATATTCAGATCCTGGGTTTAGCCAACTGCAGCTTGGCTTTCAGGCCCAGTTCAGTTGGGTGCTCCAGCCCGTTTCTGTGGCTCTTCTTTCATTATGGTCCATCTCACCCTTTGGGCCTCCTGGAGACAGCATGTCCCGGGCTGGGGCGATGGGTGGGCAGCAGGTGGCTATGGTCTCCTCCAGCCCCAGTCCTCAAACCTGCTGAGTTCCTTGTTGGGAGGTTTCTACCGGCTCATCTACTTTCCCACAGCAGAAACAGCTCCTGAGGATTGGTTGTGTCCCCTGTGACCAACCTGTGCTGACACAGTCCACAGTGACATCTTTCTGTCCAGAAGCACCCGGGTGACACCTGGAGCTTGGGGTGTTTCCTGTGCTTCCCCACTCAGTCTGTGGCCTGTTGGCCTGACCCTTGTATCTGTGCTGTCCCTCCCGGGTCTCTCATGTCTTCCTTTGATCTCTCAACACCCTCAGCTTGCATCTGGGTCAGCTGTGGGAGCGTCCCGAGCTGCAGACTGGAGGAGGCCAAGCACCATCCTTGGCTGTCCTTGCCCTTCCCCAGGTTAGATGTCCCGCCTTCCCCACTTCCTGCAGCTGTGTCCCCACCTGGGGTGGGGACAGGAAGGAAGGAAGGATGCCAGCAATGCATTTGAATAACCTGTTTTGAGTCTGACAACAAAAAGAATCTGTTTCATTTAAAACATTTGACAATGTAGAGGAAACAAACAGAAAGGATGAGAAGAAAGGTTTCCCATAATCCCTCTGTCGGGTGAAAGCCAGTCTAAGTGTGTTGGCTTAGGTTTGGCCTGGTGTGTGTGTGTGTGTGTGTGTGTGTGTGTGTGTGTGTGTGTGTGTGTGTGTGTGTGTGTGTGTGTGTGTGTATGTGTGTGTCCTGAGGTAGTTTTTAGTACAAACAATACCATGTGCAGCATTTGGGGAGTCTGCCTATAATGCTTAATCTTTTCTGACACTTCCCAAATTAAATGTTCTCACAAAAACAACTTTTTGGGTCCAGATAACATGTTTCGCCACAGCCTTGGGAGCCACTTAGGTACCAGCCTTCCTCCAACTTCTGACTGTAAACTGTTCTCATTAAGAGTACTTTATTTAGCCATTTTCTTATTATTAGGTATTTAATCATCTTTAGTTTCTCACCTCTATTATAAATAATACCCTGATTAATATGTACCTTCAAATCCTTGCATAATTGCTGATTATTTCCTCAAGAAAAACTCTGAAGTCAGAATCATGCCTTAAAAAGTCTTCACATTTGGGTCCGTTCCACCCTGGCCAGGTGGTTTTTTCTGTATTATCTTCATTATATCTTCATTATATCTCACCCAGCAGGAAAGGTAGGAGCGAATCTATGTGGCCTTGGGTCAGACCATGGGCTTTCAGTTCCTGCAGCAGGAGCAACTCAGCGTAAGAGAAAAATTGGTAAATGGGCTCAGTTAATAGAGTGGTTATCTTAAGTGCGCGAAGCCATGGGTTCCATCCCCAGCATCGCATGTACCAAGGATGGTGGCTCACGCCTGTAACCCCAACACTAGTGAGGTGGAGGCAGGACCAGAAGTCCCAGACCATTCTCAGTTACTTAGTAAGTTGAGACCAGTGTGGGCTACATGATACTCTGTCTCAAATAAATAATTGAAGACAGAGTCCAAACAAATCAAACCAGCTTTGCCCTCTGAACTATACCCCAGAGAGAATGGCCAAATTTAAAGTTCTTGGCAGAGACAAGCCTTTCTGATACGGAGTCCTAGGTCATACGTGTGACCCTCTCCTCTCCAGAGGGCTCGCTTGAGTCTCCACCTGCTGGACAGAACTTGCTGACTCCTGTGCTGGGCAGAGGGCAAGAAAGGAAGAAGAGTGTCTTTGGTGAAGGAGGCTGCCCCTGCCATGACAAGGTCTGCTGGTTACTCTGTACTGCCAAGGGTGCCCACCTAACGGACACGTCCAGTCCTGTCACGAGAGGAGCACAAGCAAACACCCCACCCCAGACTCAAACCCTAACCAAACAAAAACACAGACATGTTAGTGCAGTTGTCCAGGGCCAGAAGAGCCTGACGAGGCAGTCTGCTATTGCTATGGCATGTATCCAGTGGTCAGAAATGATCTTGGGGAGCTGGGTGGTGGTGGTGCACGCCTTTAATCCCAGCACTCGGGAGGCAGAGCCAGGCGGATCTCTATGAGTTTGAGGCCAGCCTGGGCTACAGAGCGAGCTCGAGGACAGGCACCAAAACTACACAGAGAAACCCTGTCTTGAAAAACCAAAAAAAAAAAAAAAGATCTCGGGGAAGCTGAGTCAGAGGCCCACAGAACTTGAGTATTTGAATGCCAGAAGGTCAGAGATGTGGCTTGGATGTACTGAGTGAGGGCAGGTGAGAAACCTCAGTGACAACAGTGGTCAGGCTGAGGCAGGGCATGAGAGCCAGGAGATGGTTCGTTCCAGGAAAGACAACGTGGGGTGTGGAGGCATGGGCAAGCTCTGGGATCCCCGATACTGTTGGAAGGCCTTCCCCTCCACCACAGCCTGATGTCAGCCAGCAGAGCATGGAGGTTTGGACCCCTCCATGTCCCCTACCCCCATTCTTCTATGTGTGGAGTCAGAGGGGAGAATTAAATGTCTGTGATGATTGTAGTCAGACTCTTCCCCTCTCCCTTCACCTCTCCCTCCATATCTCCCCACCCCACCCCTACTTTCCACCCCAGAGTCTCATGGCCCAGGCTGGCCTCAGACTCAATATGTAGTCAAATATGACTTTGAACTTGTTGCAATCCTCCTGCCTCTGCCTCCCTAGTGCTGGAATTATTGGTGTGTACTACCGCACCTGGTTTATGCAGTGCTGGGGGTCAAGCCCAGGGCTTTATGCAGGCTAGGCAGGCCCTCTATCAAGGGGGCCGCATCCCCATCCCCTCTGAGCTGCTTCCCACCTAGCTATGCTCTCCAGGTCTCAGACTCTCTCTCAACACACACTTCGGACTTTATTTCAAGCCCCGCCCTTGCTGGCCAGCAGCACATTCCCTTTACCACAAAGAGAAGCCTGGCTGTTCCCGCTCTGATCTGATCCGCACGGGCAGCAGCTTCCTGAGGACTGGGAAATTCACTTTATTTACTGGTAGTGAAACTCTGTTGATGTGTTGTTTGGGTCTTAACAAATACCCCAAACGTTCTTGCTGAGTGTCTGCCATCAAGGACAGTGGTTAGCACCCTGAGGCCAGTCCTGCCTCCATCCTCAGCAGCCTAGTGCCAAGGCCTCTCAGGGCAGAGTTAAGTGAAGCCTGAAGGCAGGCTTCTGAGTGTGTAGCCACCTCCTCCCCTTAGCTCTCAGAGCCAAGGGATTTAGTTTTCTTCTCCAGCCCAGGGTGGCCTCCCCTCAGCAGCCTGTTACTCTGAGGATTCCTGACCATGTCTCACTATCTTCTGGGGTCTGCAGTCTTCCCAGCCAGTCCAGACATTTAGTACAAGCCGATAAGAGCAATTACGGGCCATCCAATCCATCACCCTGCAGCAGAATTTACAGGGCAATCATGCAGTGAGGGCCTGGCAGCCACGTGATGGGTCTCAGGCCATGTCTGTCCGGGCTTTGTCCTGCAGTTTGTCAGCAGCCACTGGCAACTCTTCTCCTTAATTAGCACATTTTAAAGACTTGGTTAGTTCCTCGGCTATGGCAGGAGCCAGGTTGTGCCAACACTCTACCAATTCTGTGCAAAGTATCTCGTTCTTTTTCTTCGTCTTGACTTTGGTTGAACACAGCTGTGGAGGGGGCTAGCAAGCATTAGCAGTGTTCCTACTGGGTGTCCTGTTCTTTGGGCACCTCTGTACCCCGTGGGCCTGTGGGAAGGAGGTGGCCTATTGTGGCAAGTGCTGCTGTCATGCCCCCAGCATGGTTGGCACCCATGAGAAGCCAGAGGTGTGCATTCCTCACTGGGAACGACTGGAAGCCTTGGCATCATTAGATTTAAGAATGCCCTTCTATAGTCTCTCATAATAACATGCCATCTGAAAACTCTCTGAAATTTGTTAGATAGGAGTCTTGTAAATGAGAATGAGTATCAGTAGAACTTAAAAAAAAAGTTATGGTCCAGTACTTGGGGCTGGCAGTGAAGTGCTTTTAAAGACCAGAGTTCAAGCTGGGTGCAGTGGTGTGCATTTATGATTCCAGTGATGGGAGTTGGGAGGCAGACTAGTAGATCCCCATGATGGTCAGCCAGCCTAACCTAATTGGAAGTTCTAGGACAGTGAGAGACCCTGTCTTCAAAAAACGTCACCTGACATTGACCTCTGGAGTCCACATACATATTCATTCACTTTCATGTGCACCTGCATGTGTGTGTGCGCGCACACACACACACACACACACACACACATAGAGACACACAGATAAACACACATACACGCGCGCACACACAGACACACAGACACACACACACACACACACACACACACCCCAGCAACCCAATACCTTATTAAAGTCTGGTTTCCATGAGGTAGAATGCAGAACATTCCTTGAAGGACTTATTGGCATCCCCCATGGGTCAATATTCCAGGTCACATGCAGAACATGGCCATGCCCCAGAGTGGGCTCTGCCTGTGTCCCCAGGTGGAGGTGGCTGTTGCTGTGCCTCCCATACCCCAGTGTGTGGCCTCTGTTTTTGAATTTCACACATCTTCATGTGTCACACCAGAAAGAAACAATGGGTTCTGATAGGACCCCACAGGATGAGTGAGCCCAAACATTCCTGGCTGAGGTTGCTTATGCATTGAAATGGGGTTGGCCCATTGTCCTTCTGTGTTGAATGACATTCCTTGACACTGTTGTCCGGAATTTACATGTCTGTCCCCTGCTCTTAGATGTCTGGGTCAGTGCTGGATCTTGACCTTTATGAGTTACAGTATGAGTATATTTGTGCAAGGTTATGTGAGGACCCACACACCTGTGTCTTGACCTGCACCAATGGCTGCTGGGAGTTAACTCAGGAGAATTTGAGATTTGTCCATGTGTACCATTGGACTGCCACATAGCCACAACTAAGTCTGGGCAGTGAGTGGGAGAGGCCTGGTGTGGTTGGATTTGCTTCCTCCTGATATCTGTTGTGTAGAGTGCATGTTCTACTGCCACTCAGCTGTCCTGTGCACTCTCAGTCCATTTGTTTCACTTTCTAGTTATAATCTTGGGCTATTTTTCTGTCCCCAAATTTAATATTTTGCCTCAGAATATGATCTACTTCCCTTTTTGAGCACGGGTCTTACTGTGTCCCCAGGCTGGTCTCAAACTCTCAGTCCTCCCGGCTCAGCCTCCTGAGTGCTGGGATGGCAGGCCGCGCCCCCAGCTGCTTTCCCATTTGACATTCCCTCTGTAGGAGTACATGCTGATCTTCCAGGCATCGGGTCTTGCGTCTTGTGCAGCCGCATGCTGCTGATGCTTTGGTTTCCCGTGGGTACAGAGAGGCCTTCTTTCCCTAGATCATTAAGGCTTCCTTCTGCATCCTCCCCTTCCATGACTGTGACTTTCAGGTCTAAAATCGTCCATCATGTCGTTTGCTGCCAGCCCCACATTGCAGTCTTTTTGTCTGCGTTAGTCGGGGCAGCTCACATGCCACAGAAACCTGTTACCATCCTGGAGTGTGGACGGGCAAGCGCAAGGCTGTGGCAAGCTCTGTCCAGCCCACATTCTGCAGCTGTCTTCCCATGAGGAGGCTGAGGCAGCTCTCTCTTGCCCCAGAGCTGGGGGTGGGG